GTCTAGAACAAAACAAAATAACACCAAACAAGAACTAAAACAAAGAAACAAAATAAAACAAAACAAAAAAAAAAGGATTCAATGATGCAGTGGTGGTGTAGCTAGATGTAGCAAACCTCCAAAATCTGAATCAGTTTATGTTTATGTTTATTTGATAATATAAAAAGGAAAATTACAATCGATGTAGATGGTATGCTAAGTCTTGAGAAATATAGAGCAATGATTTTTTTGTGAGGGTAAAGGAACAGGGTTAAAACTGACCAGCTTCTAATTTCTCCATACAGCAATACTGCTACATCATTCTTTAAAATCACGAGAATAACATAAGATGACTGTCAATCTAAGAAGCTTTGATTGCTACACAAATTCTCCTTATCAGTACTGAAGGAAATGTATAGAGAATGGTATGGAAAATATAATGGATACTAATTTCAAGGTATAAAGGGTTTAAGTTTTAAATTATGAGAAAGAAATGTTTACTTTGATTGCCTTTACCCTTAAACTCCCAAAAGTGATTAACATGTAACTTCTCCTTAACATACCCATACATTATCAAGCACAAAGGTAATGAGAATACTCAGACTTATCAGTTAGATATTATAATCTGGATTGAACACCAAGTTCTTGTAAATAATTTACAATGAAATGTGTAGCAGCCAGAGGGGAGAATTTACAATCAGATCTTGGGAGTCATTGAGTTAGGTTAGTTACTATTTAATTGGTTTGTCAAAAATATTACTTGAAGATGATCTTGTTATTTTGAAAGTTTTCTTTTGTGTTCTTCAGTAATTTGTTATCTAAAAACACAAATAGCTCTTTTTCATTGTTACATTTTGTTTACTTCCACTAGTGAAAATGCTCATGTTTAACAACTGTAAATGGGGAATATTTAAATTAATTTGATTTTCACTAAAAATTACTACTGAAATTTTAGAACAGAAGGGACAATTAAACCATGAATCAATCATAGAATCGAGAGTAATTGTCGACTGAGTGTCGTAACTACCAAATACGACAAATAAGAGCGAAAGAAAAGATCACTAGGAGCCAATCAGAAGAAAGGTTAATGTTAGAATGAGCCAATCAAAACGCTCAAAGCGCGGTACCAGGCAGGTAACAATTCAGAATTGGTTTTAATTTTGGATCTGATTGATTGAGAAAGTGGCGTGAGTTTTCTTGACCAATCAAAAAACCATAGCAAACTAGTATTACTTTCGACACTCAATTAAAAATTGCTCCACAGATGCTACTTGTGCAGTAATGTTACAAAAAAAACCTCATAAAAATTGCGTTCTTACTTAGTATAGTAAATACAAAGGACAACAAACATATGTTAATGTAAAGTTATTCTTATTCAGCAACATGTTATACATAACACTGGGGTTTTTATTTGATCAAGGAATATACATAAATGTAAAACATGAAGCTATGTTCACTTTTGTAAAGTCTTTAATTGACAAATAAAACAGTATTTATTGTTTTTATTTCATTTTGTTATTCTAACCTACTTTCAGTTTGAGCTCAAAAGCGCACCATCAGGGATTAATATGTTGGAAAACCTCATGGACAGATTGCAGTGTCGTCTCATCAGTAGGGAACACTTTTCCAACTTACATTGGGAATACATTATGGGAATACATTTTTATGGAAAATCCGTTCTAGGACATACTATTTAGACATACTCTAGTCACTCTGGGAAATTTAATGTGTCAATTCTTACACAGCGGAGTAGTTGGAACTCTGTTTAAGAATTTACTTTGAAAAGTAAAACATTCATGTGCTTTTTTCAACAACAGAAATACTATTCACTCGGGGCAAGCGCTATTGATACTGGAATGGAAAAGTAGCAACCAGTACAGTAAAGCAGGCATACTCAACCCTCACATCTTCCTTACTGTTCTCGATACATCTCAAGGTGCTAACAAGGAAAATTTGGTTAACAATCAAGAGCTTCCCTAGTTGGTGATTATTTCCTACATTCTCCTGACCTAATGTGTGATTCAGGGGTGATATTGTGAGGAAAAAAAAAGATTCCAATCATTCTTAGGGGTTCATTCTAAAAGGGTTATTAGAATGCCGGGAATAAATTGGGAAGGATTTACATTTCTTCAGTCACTCCATGTTGAAGAAGTCACAGGGAATCCACCCAAACAGTTTCACAGATTGACCATTTGACGTATGGTTGAATTTAAAGGAAATGTATGGAATTTCGAAGAGTTTTGTGGACGAATTTGATAAGTTCATGTCGAATTAATCGATTTTTCAAAGCAGTAAAATAAACCGTTTAGTAGATATAAACTGTAGGATCTTGTTTGTTGACTAGCGCGCGCGCGCGTAAGTGTATCTTCAGAGGCGGTAGCTGCCTCTTAGTTTCCTTCGCAGCCGTTCAGTTTTTGGTATCTCATGTAACTTTGGGGGTTTACTATACCTACTGCCATCCGAAAATTAAGCAACGTCTTTGCACACTATTCTTGGCCCTCAATGAACACTAAAACAATTAATACATAAAAATTCCCTCATCCCTCACCTTGTTGTCAAGTGGTGAATGGGACAAGAGTTTCGCTCACCGTGCGTTCGGTGGAAATCTGAGCCATAGTTAAGTTTTCATTTTTTTTCTCTCTATTTCTCTTTCTTTTATATTCTTTTCTTTGACTTGAAATTTAAAAGATATCCCAGGCTTTAATTATGAACTTATTTTTGACGTTTATTCCAGACCCACCTATCACGAATCCTCTTCGTCGTCTCCATTATCCCTTTACACCCTATCATTAGTATGCATATTCTCTATAATGTTCTCTACACATTTCTTAAGCTACTGGTAAGGAGAATATGTTTAACAATCAAGAGTTTCTTTGCGTGGTGATCTCTTCCTTTCTTCTAGTGATCCTCATGTTTGATTCAGGGCGATACTCCTCAGGGTCAGAGGGCTTATAGGAGAGAATAGTTTGAAAATGTCGGCAAAAATACATAGTTTCGTTCATGTTATTATTTGTTTTCCAACCAAATCTACATTATTGTGAGACTGGGAACTAGAGAAAGATGTGTTACACTGGGAAAGCGAAAAAACCAGAAAATAGATAGGTTTGCATCGCATGCATTTTTTTTTCTAAACCTTCCTTTCAATGGAGTTATCTTATTGTTCCGGAAAGGGAAAGTTCAACAAAATAGTGGCTTAAGTGTTTTTTACTCTTCATAAGGGTAAGGGCCTCCATATTTTCTGATAAAATATTCCCAGTTTTGCTTTGGTTTTATCTCTGAGCCTCACTCCTTTCTTTTCATACCTTACTACTAATTATTACTTTGCAACGTTTATCTTGTAATGTTCATTCCACGCTCATGAAAAACTGAAGTAAAATATGATCCGCTTTCGATGGCTCGTTAACATGCAAATTGACTTTCCCTTTTGGCCATTCTCTGATTGGCAGGCGGCTTACGCGAACATCTGTGATATAATCATCAGTGATTGGTTGTTGTTTCTAATCCATATTCATGCGAAACTATAGAATTTACAGCAAACCAAGCTCATCGTCGAAGTGTGAAGACGTTTATGATGAAGTTTTGAAGAAGAGCTTCACCGAACTTGGAAGTTGCTCGAAGAAACGCTGACGACAGGGAAGGAAGTGTGTTCTCTACTTCAACAAAGGTAAATGAAATACTATCTTTGCAAATATGGGAGTTAAGCTGAATTTTATCTTTGAGAGTAGCCACGTGCACGAGTAGTCGGCTTTGGGCGTAGGTTGCTAAAACTCGAATTTGAGATCAAGAAAAGTACATTTGTGCACTACAACCACAGAATTTTAGAGACTGACTTAAACTGAAAATAGAGGAAAATTTTAAAACTAGAGAGGTATTTTGAGCATAATCCCTTGAAAATAACCAAGAATGCGTGAATGATCTTTGACATGGCCACGTGCATACAGTAATTCTATTCTTGTGTCTTTAGGGACTTTAGTTGAAATAGAATTTGCAAGGGTTTTTCAGAAGTTTCTTTAAATTTTCTTGTATAGTTCTTGCATGATGGCAAAATTTGACAATACAACTTTACAAACTTGCCTTGCTTGATATGCATTGTACACTTAGCTAGTTACCGAGAACTAAGTGAATTACAAGTCGGTTTACCCAAATTTGGCCTGTTGCTTATCAGCGGAATGCTATGTTTGTGTTTTAGGAAGCTCTTAGAAAGAGGAAAAAGATGGAGAAATATTTAATCAAAAGGACAAGTGGAATCACTGGAATGACGAGAAGATTCGACAAAGATAAGAACTTTACATTATTAAATATTTTTTGCAAAATGGTGACTGAACAAATGTCGAGAGTTTTTCGAGAAGCTCACTCTTAATTGTATCATGTCAGATCTGTGAGTCATCTGCGTTGCCGAAAAATACTAGAGTGAGTAGACGAGACAGAGAAAATTGTTCTTTGAGGTACTTATTGTT